CTCTTCCACAAAATATACTATTTTATTACAAGAATGCAAGGCTAAATAATATTATGAAAGCTAGAAAGATAGCTAAGCTGTCTATGCATTTGCCTGGCAAGCTTAAGGACATGGGTTCGATACCCAGTATGGCATGCTGTGCCAGCCCTGGAACCCCAGGTGTGTTGTGCTGGCCCTGAAACAAGGCATGGTGGTGCTCGCCTATAATCTCAGTCCTGGAGAGACTGAGACAGGAAGATCACTACGAGTCTGAGCTGTGTAGTGAGACCCTATACCAAATAAATAAATAAATTTTAAAACTAAGTAAATATGATTGTGCAGAACATTTATTTTATTTATTTTTGTTTTCTGAGATTTTGATCTGTTTTATTTTAAATGAAATCCATTTTCCCTCTACTACAGTTAGCTCCCAAGGGACAGAAAAGGGTTTCGTTATGAGATTAACTGGCTGTGATCTAGCTCCTCCTGATTCTTGAGGTGCAAGACACCGCCCCAGAGTCCCACTCTGCCAGCCGGTAGGGATCAAAGTTCTTCAAGGGTGACCTAGCCAAGGTCAAGAGGGCTCACCCAAGTGAGGGTGCCTGCTCTCAATGTGAGGCCTTGGACAACCCTGTAGGCTACGCCTTACAGAAGCTCCTCCACTTTACTGGCCTGTGAGCCCACAACCAGCACCTAAGCAAATGCCCAGCCCCCAAAGGCCTACTTGCCACCTACCCAGCTTCAGCCTTCAGTCCCTGCTTCCATTAACTTGTAAACCCCACAAGTGCAGCTGCCAGGCTTGGGTGGTTGTTGTGGTGATGAGGATGGGAGCAACAGTTAAATCATACCTCCTATCAGTACCAAAAAAGGGAAAGGAGAAATGACAGCCCCCTAGCCTATAAGGTGCAACTCCTTCCCAACTTCCAGCACCTCCCCTGGGCAGGCTCCCAAGGAAGAGCATTGTAAAGTAAAAGGGAAAACTGCTATTAACCCCTGCAGCTTTCTTATGAGAGGAAAGCTTCAAGGAATGTTATAAATACAAATGCAGAAGTTCCTGGGACTGGGGCCTTTTATTCTTCCAGGGCCAAACAATGCACTACTCATTTTTAAAGAAATAGGTATGGATAACAGGTTGTGGTGATGCACACCTGTAATTCCAGCACTTGGAAGGCTGAGAAGGATCATGAGCTGGAGACCTGCTAGGCTACATGGAGAACATTTATTGTACTGTGTTATTTTTCTAGTAGCAATGTAGTTGACTTTGCTTTGGATGCCATTGTATTGAAGGGCTGCAGTGCTGAAGTTTACAGTCTGGTCAGTTATCTGGAGATAACACTTATTCTCGTGATTTTTCTATGGGGCACAACTGAATGAAAAAAAAAGAACTGTTTACTTACCGAAACATACACAGCTGCAAAGGCAGCAAGGGTGGCATGCTGAGAAGGGAAGGACTTCCTGCCAAAAGGAATGCAGTCAGATTACGCCTTTTAGCTCACACACTGCTAGCAATCATTTCAAGAACACCGGGTGGTTAAAATATCCAACTTAGAGCCACAAGGCAATAAGCAATGAGTTTAATTTAGTTTTCTAGGGACACAAAACATGGTTTTAAATAAACCCCATTTCTACTCACCATTAATGTTAAGGAATAGTAGGATTCACTTTCCAATTTAAGTAAATATCAGCTTAAGAAGAGACCAGTTGATCATACTATGCAAATGATATATGAAAATAGAAATGGGGTTGGAAAACATAATTATTCTTCAGCATTAGGATTATGTTAATTTAAAGTAAAAGTTCATAAAAGCTTAGATCTTAAAACTATAAAACCTTCTGTATGCTCCTAAGTATGTAGTTTCATTTACCTAAAAATTTTAAAAGACAAAATTATATTTTCAAAGTAGTAGATCTGAAATTTTTTTATATTCTACAAATGAAAAGTGTATTAAAAGTATTTGTTAGCATATTCTACTTTAAAGGAATTATCTCAAGAATCATAGAACATTGTATTTAGTTAAATAATAACAAAAGAGCAGGGCCCATGGCTGGAACATATGGTAGTGGAAAAAACATGGAAAAAAGGCAGACAAAAAAAAAAAGTGATGTCTTACAAAGCACTTAGTTTGAAAAGCCATATTCACATGTATTAGTGCTCTTTTCTTCTAAGTATTTGGTCCTTATTACTTAACACAGTTAGTGTAGTAGGACTGAGAAGGAACGTAGGATGCAGATCTGAAATTATTGAACTGTGTATGAGAATTGAACATACTTAACCACAAAACATCAGGTTCTCATTCTTTGAGTGTACTCATCAACTTTCCTTTCACTATTCAAAAGATCTTTGTGAACTCATCAAATGACCAATTCAATGGCCCTATTTCCTCCTTAATCTAATTATTTTTAGCTCTGAAGATAATTTTCCTGTCATAGAATTTATTTTTCTTTTACAAGCTGAAAAAAATAATTGCATTCATGATTCAGTGTAGTTTCTTGAGTTGTACTGTTCCTCATTTTCTTAAACATAAGAGCTATTAAGGTCATCTGGGATTGCCCAAATAAATCATATGTCATTATATATTATCTCTTCTCAAACGTAACCAAAGAGAAAATTCATATGATTCTTTTTATAAAAATATAATGAACATACAACTATGGCAGATGTTTGCTAAGCCATAACAGGGAATGAATATCTTATAATAAGTTCATTGTGGTAACCTAAAACCCCAATGAGCACCTAACAAAACACAAGTGGAATTCAGTGTTATAAGGACTAGCAGCAAGACTATTAAGCTGAAATTTGGAGGTAGAGAGGATTTGAAATGAGCCAAAAGTGGATTTCTATTTATCATTGTCAAAAATATCCTTAAATTGAAAGTATAAAGAAAAAATTGTGATCATTATTACTAATAAAAGGCATGCAATGGTTTTCCAGTAAATTACTAAAGAATTAGAACCCTGCGATGGAATGCTGTTAAGTCTTAGTTTCTAACCTGCCGCTGTTGATAACTGTAAGGTCAGATCCTGAACAAATGTCCTCCACAATGTAGGAATTTTCTTTGCAAGACACATTTAAAGAGGTATAGTTTGGCTTGCACACAGTCAGAAAGTATGGAGCTTGGTATCCCGTGGACAGCTGTATGATGTCCGTGATTAGGGCTGTAGAACACAGTCCAAACACATGCACACCTGCAAGGAAAACGGAAAAGATTACTGAGTTGATGGCCAATGCTAATATTGTATCAGCATCACTCATATATATTACATATTCACACACCAACTTTAATATTTGTTTTGACTATTTCCTTTTCTAAACCAACTTTGAAAAGATAGTATTAAAAAGAATCCCAAATGTCTAAATAGACACTTCAGGGAAAAATAAGAGCAATAAGAATTTTGAAGTAGTAATTTAAGGCACCTTTATCACTTTTGTTAGAGACACTTCTGAATGTTATTTACCATTGGCCACTGGTCAGTCTCCTGGAGGATGTTAAGGTGATCAATTGTGTCATTTTAGAGGGACTGAATATAGGGAACAAAGCAAAATTAAAAATTATTCTAAATTGCTGAATATGTTGAGCTGCTGAGTACAGTTGACTTCCTGATGCTCTAGATCTCTAGCCCGTCTAACCTCAAGATTAGCTCATGTAGGATGTCTAATTAAAATACAGAAGAGGGTGGGCAGGGTCTGTCCACAACAATTTATTCCGAGTCTGCCTGAATATTTGGAATTTGGTGATGATGTTTTTATATCTTTTGTCCAAATTCTATCATTTTTTTGTTTGATTCCTGGGGCCAGTCTTAAAACACAAGTTACAAATCTTGAAGTTCTCTTGGGCACTCAAGCTCTGCCTACTTGAAGCTGTTTTCTTGGCTTCTGCTTTGTTTTTCTTTATTTCTTTATTTTTTATTTTTATTTTTATTTTTACTTTGTGGAACCAGGGGATTGAACTCAGGCCCTTGCACTTCCCAGGGAAGCGCTTACTCCACTGAGCCATCTCCCCCTGCCTCTCTCTCTCTCTTTTTTTTTTTTTTTTTTTTTTTTTTTTTTTGGCTTTTCTTTATTTTGTTAATTTTATTTTTATTTTTATTTTTTTTTGGCTTCTGCTTTGGGAGTCTACCTTTCTCCTCATGTACACAAGGATTTGATACTGGCCACATCTCTCAAGGTCAACTTAATTTCTTGAATTAATTCTGATTTGACCACATGGATTCTTATTTAAGAGATATTCATAAAACTTATGAGGAGAACCTGGCTTATTCTTCACTATACCCCTCCAGACTAAAACCACTGGGTTACATATTATCTTGCTTTGCATCTTTCTTTTCTCCTAATTATCACTTATTCACCACTCCTTCAATTCCTTCTCCACCTCCAGCTAGGATTTATGAAGGAGAAACTAGTTCTGCACTCTAAATCCTATAAATGTGCAAAATCATGGTGAAGAATTAAAATAAGGAAGTAAAATCATTATGCTACCTGTGGAAAATGAGAATCTCTAGGCAGTAGGATTATTGACACCATTACAGGGAGAGCAGTTTTTCCATGTTCGAAGGATTTTGTTATGGTAGGGCCAGTTCTCTCTGAAATCTGAAATCAGTTATGTGTCTTGGAATTTTCTTTCCTTGCCTCAAATCCTACTGAGGGTCCTACTGTTTTCTGTTTTCTTTACAATCTTGGTATGATGGGAAGTAAATGGTTAGAGGAACCAAATTTAGAGAATCATTGAGATCCAATATTTCCTTTCATAGAAGAGAAAGTTGCATTTAATTATCAACTAGACATTAAATGACACTCCTCATTCCTTTGAACTCATGTAGGTAAAAGTAACTATACTGATTTAATTGAGATAAATACGCAACCTTTATTTTGGCTCATTGTCTTATAGATTAACCACTCAACTCAGTTAAACAAACAAAAAAAGGTTTGTAGTTTAACATTCACTAAGATGTGCCGCGCTTATCAGAAGAGATGAATAAGCATTTAGAAACTGACTTAATTCAGCTGCTATTTAGCCAAGTCTACAGATTCTCTGTAAGTTTCATGAAAAATAGGGAGCAAAGTTGGAAACTAAAGTCAAGGAAAAAATAGGTCTGATGCAGTACTGAATGATGATATTTTCAATGCAGAAACTTCTGGATTAAAAAAACAAAACATAACCTTCAATAAATGGAATCACAGAAGTGCCTAATTTCTGAAGAGCTGTTTACTCATACTGGCCTACTGATATTTAACCTTCATTTAAAAAAACCTGGGTACACATTCAGCAAAATCCTTTTAACATAAATCAAGATTTAATTAGAGTGAAAACAAAAATACACTGAATTGCATGACATGTTAGCCCTCAAAGCAAGGACCATGACTGTAAATAATATGTTTCAGATACAAAGCCTAAATTTTGGTCTTTAACAGTTTCTTATAAAGTAAAACTCATCATGTACTGAAATTATACATCTAAATTATAGCTTTCGAGATTTAATATCTATAATTAAATATAACACTTTGTATTGGAAAAAACATTTCCTTTCTTTGTAATTCCCCACACCCACCAACAAATCTGACGGCTCTTCTAAGAAAAGAGTTGAAGTTACAGCCTCCAGCATTAATGTTAGGCTCCAGGCCAACTCCATTTCTTCTTTTGGACAGGCAACAGTAGAGAATTCCTTCCCCTACCATAATCTGCAAAGACAAGGAGCGATGCAGGCAAATGAGTGTTGGTATACTTTTTAGATGAACTATAAGGATCATATGTCATTTCTTAGCACATCACAAATTCAACAAAGCAAAGATATGTTCTCTTAAACTTTTTAGAGGTCTAAGCAATTTCTCCCGAGTTTTTGCGTTAGCAGTGGTAAGTAAGCAACTAGGATCTGACAAGATGATTTGGCTGCACCTTCAGTACTCTGATGCATTCTGACATTTCCATGTGGCCCTAGAAATCACCCTTTGCCAACAACACCCAGTGACACTTCCTTAAGTAATCACATGAAGACTAATTCTGCCCTGTTAGAAACTTTGTATTTTGCCTCTGAAATCATGAAAACAGGATATCTAAGGAGGAATAAAGTACCAGAATTAGGATCCAGAATATTTTACTAGCATATTAGGTCAAGCTGCTTTGTATTTTAAGAGAACAATGAATCTATGAAACATATGCGTGTGTGCAAGGAGGTACTACCTAGAGCATTGCTGTCCTATAATGATTTCTATAAAGACAGAAACTATTTTTTGTACTAATATTGTAGACACCATCCACATGTAGTGGGTGATTGAACACTTAAAATTTAGTTATTACAAATGAGTTGAATATTTAACTTTGCATTGTATACATACAAGAGAATCTAGGACAGTATTTCTGGCAGACAATTCATTTAGAAAGTGTGTTCATAAAGGACACAGAACCACACCACAGTATCAAGATTATCTGAAGTCAAACAACAATGTGCTTTACTGTAGGATTTAAGACATGAAATTTCAACTTTTTATTGGTATGTAATTGTAGTACATTATGGTTGCATTCCTTGTGAGCAGTTGGTATGTATACAAAATAGTTCTCAATTCTTTTTTTTTAAACCCTCCTTCTCCCTCCTCTTGGTCCTTTACATTCATATAATTGTACTACAGGATGATCACATTCTGCATAGGGATTTGGTGCATGTCCGCAGCACTTCACCATCTCCCCTCCTTTTTAAAGTAATGTCTTTGCCTTCCTCTCCCTCCCTCTCTCTCCATCTTTTGGTTCACTTTCCATGTGCCAAAGATCCATCTCACTATTTCCTCCTGTATGTTCTTTATCTTGGACTTTATTTATATATTGGGTTTCTTATGCAAGAGAAACCATGTGCTATTAAGCTTCTGTGTCTGACTGATTTCATGTAACATTATGTTCTCATTGAGCATCAGTTTTCTACAGTGACTCAAGGAAATGATGCCTGAGCAATACTGAGTTCTTAAAGGTGAATCATTCTTAAGAACTCAGTACTAGTCAGGCATCCCTTCCTTCAGGAATTTTTCCTTGAATCCTTTTACAATATCCTAAATTACCCGAAGTTGAATTAGGTGGCTCCAATAGACTTTATCCTTGCTTCTAGTACAGCTTTATTCAAGTGGGCTTTAACTGTTCATTTGATTGCTTCCCATTAGTCCAGGACACTCTGAGGAAGGAATACATATATTCCTTTATTTGTCACCATTTGACAGTTTTAGGTTGTTTGTGATCTTTACTATGGAGGTTAATTTTGCTAACTACTCTGCATATTTATATTCTTAGTTGTTCTGCACAATAACAGCTAGTTTTAAATTTGTAAATTGTATTTATGCTGATTTTTAAAATATTTCTGATTATTGTTCTATGAGATGGTTGTGAAATTAGGTGTTGATTTGTTTAAAATGTATGGAGATGAAGAAAGTAGGGTTTCATGAGACAATAGCAGTGTCTGATATAAGGGATACTGTAGAGATTAGTGGGACCAGGGAGATAGCTCCTTAGTTTAATCCCTGGTACTGCATAAAAAAAAAAAAAAAAAGAAGAAGTAACTTTAGGGCTGGCCTGATAGTTTAGTGAACCAAAACACCTGCTTAGGCAGAGTGTAGTGGCCGGGGTTCAATTCCTGGCATGCTGTGCTGGCCCTGCCTGCGGGGAGCACTGAGATGGAGATTAAGACTAGGTCTAGGCGTGGTAGTGTGCACCTATAATCCCAGCACTTGGGAGGCTGAGAATAGGAGAATCACTCTGAGTTTAATCTACATAGTGAGACCCTGTAGACTCTGTACTAAATACAGAAAGAAAAAAAAGAGATACTATGGATATTATAATCATTTTTAGAGCTAAATTATGGCTGTGGTTAGCTTTTCCAGGGGAAATTTCAAGTTCTCATCAGTGCCTTAAGGTCTATTTTATAAAGTGCTTAAGATGATAGTGTGAGCATTTAACTCAAGGATGCATGCCTATTTCCTTCTGTGTCAAATGTCCAAATTATTGTATTTAGTTCTACAGGTCATGTGGAACATATACCATTATAAAAACTTAATCTGTACAAAAATTTTAAAAAATAATTTTCCAAAAAGAACTCTGCCCAAAATCATGAATGTGAAAATCATGGAGTCAAAATCATGATAAACTCCTTTGATTCATCACTATAGAAAGTCAGGAGTTTATTTCAAATAATAGAACATGGAATTAATATATTTTTACATTTTGAGGAATATTCTACATCATCACTTTAGTCAAACATAAAAATGCTCTAGATTCTGTGGTCTGTGTAGATAAGATGTATGTCACTATCTTGGAGTAATACAACAGTGCCTCAATTCCTCCCTTGTAGAAAATTAACCACCCATTCCTTAAAAGCAGTGCTCTATAACTAAAAGATTGACTTCATCATCACTTCTTCAATAAAAATTTTATAAATAAGTTTGCTTTTCTCTTCTCAATTATAGGTGTAACAATTCACACATTGTCAATAAGTACCATATTCCATAAGAATTTACTGGTGCAATGTTATTAGGAAAATGCCTCTTAGCATACAACCCAATAGTTGTCTCAAATGACCTTGAGATTTCCAGAGTTTTGTTTTTAGTTGTTTTAATATGTTCAGACCGCTTATGTCAAGTGAGTATGGCAACGTTCTTTCACTTGATTATGTACTATGGGTAGAGGTTTCTTGTCAGCAATTAGATTACCCAACTGTCCCTCTTAAAAGGGGGCATATTACTATTTTTCTTCATACTTGCATTCACTTAACCTATATGTAATTTTCAAAGTCATTGGAAGAAATTTTTCAGTTTAACAATAACCCACAACTGTTGGACCAACTTGAAGAGATTTTTCAGTGTAAGAGGAGAGACTTCTTTTCTCCATTGTATGTTGTTGTGTCACAGTAAGAAACTAGATTTCGTACTTAATAATAAAATTGTTTCTTGCCATTGTTATTTGTTAACAGAACATCATTCATGACAGCTATCTTAACATAATATGCTGTTTTGTGCTGTACCCAAGTTTGAAAAGAAACAACACAAATTATTTTGTTTTTGTGTCAAATGTCATGGATGGGTTTCGGGAAGAGATTCTGTAATGACTCTGCTACCAGAGGGGTTGTTGAGGGGAAATATTTTGCTTATTACTATAAGGTCTTTCTCTTGGAATTGATCCATAAGATTGACTCAGAGCCAAAATGTCTTTTTTTGGGGACCGAAAATAAGGTTTTGTACATGCCAGGAAGAAGCTGTGCTGTTGAGCCGCAGCCCAATTCCCCTAGAATGCTTTTCTTGTAAACAAAATAAACCAATAAAAACATTACAGTGTTTTTATTATAGCATCTTTAGTGCTTGCATTTCCAACGAATGTCCTCTAGACACCCTAGCACACAGTAATGTCGTAGTCTCCTAACGATAAGGTTAGCCTCCAAGCAGTGTAATCAAATTCTGATGGAATTTTCATTTACAATTAGATATATTTATTCTTTTATTATTTGTTTGTTTGTTTTTGCAGTACCAGGGATTGAACTCAGGACCCTGCGCTTGCCAGGCAGGTGCTTATTCTACTGAGCTATCTCCCCAGCCCTTATTTATTCTAAAAAAAAATTGAAGTTGTATTTCAGGGATAAAAAGGTACAGATTTTTTTCTGTTCACATACATTTCTTGAACATTTATGATGGGCCTTGAAAATCAATATTAAAGTAAATGAAAATTTACTGTTAAGGAAGATATTTTCTAGCTCAAAGTAATTTTATAAAAATAATATGCATTTCACAGATGGTAAAAAATTTTTACAGTCCATGTAGTACAACACAAACACAAGTTAATTTTAAATACATCTCAAAATACTTTTTAAAAATCTGAGAAGCAAATAGTAAATGACGTATATTTAAATCCTTGTGTAAAACATTGTTTGAGGTCTTTTGTTTTGTTTTGTCTTCTTCCCAAGTGAATGAGTGAAAATGGGCCCCTTTGCCCTCACACTTTTACAAGCTGTCTGCTCTTGCCTGCTTTTTTCTGTGGGCCCCATTTCTGGGACAAGTTATGCTGCCCTAAAAATGAGAAAGAAAATGTCACCGCTGAGAATCAGAGGCTAGAATCTGCTATTTTCACTTTCAGGAAGAGAGAGAAAAAATTAGAAAGGTAGTGCATGTACTCAGATTAGAATGAGAATTATGGTCCTAGAACAAGATGACTTATGAACAGCATAGGATTAATGGTAAGAAAAGGTACAATTCGTGAGGTCTTAGAAGTAGAGAGATACATAAAATCAGAATGGGATCTACAAATGTAAATACATTTTCAATGAAAAATGGGGCAAAAGAGTGTTTAATGTCAGCCATTTCAAAATTTGTTTCACCAGCTGGTTGTCTACTCAAAATCTACAAAATCAGTGTGTCGGGCCGGGGAGATGGCTCAGTGGAATAAGCGCTTCCCTGGCAAGCACAAGGGTCTGAGTTCAATCCCCGGTTCCACAAAAAAAAAAAAAAAAGTGTGTCAGAAAATAGTCACCAATACCTTGCAGTATCTCAGAGTTTCCAAGTGACATGTGAGAAGTTAGGTGCCCCAGGCTGCAACTAGGACCCTAATTTGTGTCTCCTACCACTAAGAGGGCACCAGTAGTTATTGAGGTCCCATGGAGTTGTCTTGTGGAATGAGGATTTCCAGGCAACTCAGTGGAAAGGAGTAGGGTGGATTTTCCATTCATTTTTAAAAGTTCAATAAAGAAAACATCCCTGCTGGGCATGGTGGCATAGATGTGTGATTTGCGAGCCTGAGACAGAAGATTGCAAATTCAAACCCCATCTGAGCGACTCAGAAAGACCCTGTCTCAAAATAAAAAGGCCAAGGATGTAACTCAGTGTGCAGGCTTGAGTTTATGCCAAGGACAGAAATGAACAAACTATTCCAAAATTGAACTTTTTGAGTGCTTAAAACTACAGTTGTCAACTGGGCATGATTAAGTCAGGAGGATCCCAAGTTCAAGCCTTGCCTGGGCAATTTAATGACTTAGACACTCTTTCAAAATTAAAAATGAAAGCATAAAGGCTAGGAATGTAGCTCAAAGTGAGGGTTCTAGGCTCAATTCCCAGTGCCACAAAAATTATAATGAAAGAAAGAGAAACAACGAGATAGTAAGAGAGAGAGAGAGAGAGAGAGAGAGAGAGAGAGAGAGAGAGAGAGAGAGAGAGAGAAACTCTAACAAGCATATTGAAAATCTGGTGTTGGAAGGTAGGGAATCAGGAGATGCAAGAACGCAGTCACGAGGATAAGGCTATTGGCCCTACACTGAGATAAACAATCCCAACTAGTTTCCTCCCCATAGACTTGCTCTAAGCGGGGGGATGGTTCAGTAGAATAAGAACTTCCTTGGCAAGCACAAGAGCCTGAGTTCAATCCCCTGTTCTGCCAAAAAAAACCCACTAGCTTTAAGTCTTTCAGTGAAAGACTTCTGGACACTGAAACAGCAAATTATTGATGTAATTAAATATCAACAGTCTTTTCAACAGAAGCATGAACATTTGTAGAGTATTTTATTTCAAATATATCACTTATAATAACTTTGGGTACTATACTCCAATTAAGAAATGCTTTCAGGTGTGATAGATTTAAAGGAAATATTATTTTTGGTGTACCTCAGTAACTGAGATGCATTTTGTGTTACAAGAAGTATTTTTTTTTAAGAAAAATGACTTGAAGATGGTGTTATTTTGAGCAATATCACCCTCAAAATTACATTTCTGAGAGTCTCAACTACTTCCAAATACAGCATTCATTAACAGTTTTAATCAACTCAGAGTCACTGGAGCTTGAGTAACTTATTACTGTGATTTCCAAAGTGATTTGAGGCCTTTAGTTAAGTCTGATGATGAAGTTAGGTGGGAAATTAAATTCTAGTGCAATCATCTGAGATTATTTTATATAATTTATCTGCAATGTGAATATCGTTATTATTTTTTTGCTATCATCAGGTTCATTTATTTACCTTATAAGTCCTTATAAAGTTAATATACATGTAGATTAACAGGCTGAAAACATACAAAACGCATAAAACAATTATAGCAAATCAAGGCATGCTTTTAGATACATTGTTCATGCTGGGTTATAATAACTTCTTTCTCTCATTTTTCCTATTGTCATTTATTTTGCACTTTATATACTGAGTTTCTCATGTAAAGAAAATCATTCAATGTTTAAACTTGTGTGTCTGATTTGCTTCAGTTAATTTTACAGTTTCAAGGTGCATTCATTTTCCTACAAATGGTCTAAGTGCATTTTTCTGAATGGCATAAAAACATTTCCTATCTGCCCATCTGTTGATAGACATATAGGCTGCTCCCAAGATTTAGTCATTATGAACGGTGCTGCTATGAACATGGACATGGACACGTCCCTGTAGTATGATGTCTTTAATTCTTTTGTGAAGATACTGAGACAGGGAATAACTAGGTCAAATGGAATTTCTATTTTTAGTGGTTTGAGGAATCTATACTGGTTTCCACAACGGTGGTTCCAGTTTACACTCCCACCATCAATGAAGAAGTGCTCATACTGATATAGGGACGTGAAATTCCCAACCTGGCCTGGATGAGTTTGTGTTCTCCAAAACCGAAGAATGCAGTTTAGGAACAAATGGAGGTTGAGGGTAAAACTTTATTGGAAAGGAAAGCTTTTGTTGGAGAGGGACAGAAGGAGGACCTGAGCAGGTTGCCCAGGAAGCTGTCTCTTCCACGGACTTTTATAGTGTAAAACCATGCGGGACTGAGGTAGAGACAAAGGGGTCTCGCTTAGGCAGATACAGGGTGGGACAAAACTATGGTCACCCAATGGTATTACGAGCACCATTGCCCAGGTAAAATTTATTAGGCCTAGGACCAAATGTGGTAGCAAGTCACGTAGCAAGTGGGCATGAATGTAAAAAAGGACCTTATCTGGTGACCTTCAGACAATATTTTTTCCTAAGGAATGATCAGTCCTGGATGCCTGTCTTTAGGTTCAATATACAGCAAGGGCCTTCATCCTTCCCACAGTTTTGAGGTGCCTGGCTGCTGTTATTTCCTTCAAGGGCCTGAACTTGTCTGACTGCTTACAATATTTCTGTCTAACTCAAGCTGCCTACAACACTACCACCAGCCTCTCCGGGCTTTGTTATTGCTTGATTTCTTGAGGAAAGCTAGGCTTTCCCAAGTGAGATGAAACCTTAGTGTTGTTTTAATTTGCATTTCTCTAGTGGCCAGTGGTTGAACATTTCTTCATGCATTCATTGGCCATTTGTTTTAATTTTTTTTAGCACAGAGAATTTTATACAAATTCATAGAATATAAAGATTATATAGTTTAGAAAGTCTATGCAGAGCTTTTTCTAAAGTTGCTATATTGAAATTTAATAAGCTGATCCATTAGTGTATCTTGTAAAAATTTGCATTGAAGTTCAGCTTTTAATTTAGTGAGCTCTTGCTCTGACATTCATGAGCATGAACATATTGAAGTGAGAAATAAGTATGATTTATTCCTACAAGTAGAAATAAACATTATTTCCCCATGTAATGTGTTTCTTAGCTCTTCCCTAGCAGTCTGGGGCCAGAAGAGATGGTGAAAGCCTTGACTAATCTTATTTAGTAGTGAATTTATCTAAAAGTATGTTTTCATCTTGTGCATTAATGCATAAAAATTTATATTTTAAATTCAGTTCCAGTAGGTTAGGGTAATTCTTTGTTTTTCCTGGCATTATAATTGGAAGTCTGGGCCTTTGCAAAGAACTGTATCCTCAGCTTTTTATAAAACATTTTATTTTAAGACAGGATCTCAATAAGTAGCTAAGTGGCCCTGCCTGGACTTGAACTTGTGACCTTCCTATCTCAGCCTTTCCATTTTCTGGCATTAAAAATGTGTGCCACCATACCCATGTTGATTAGGGAATTTGTTGATGTACACATTTTGTAATGTAAATACCTATTCAGAATCAAAAGCGTCTTATTCTGTTTGTGTGCATCAATTTTGACCTCTTATAATTGTTGGAGTTCAGTGCTCATAACCAATACAAACTGCTAATCTACCAAAACATGAAACTCCAGATGATACTAAAACACATTTTTTTTTGAAAAAAAAAATCTGTTGGTATATAATTACTTGCCTTCCAGACCTCAGATAGCAAATAAATACATGAAAAGTACATTAATTAGCAGTGTATCAGACATCTCAAATTAGCCAGTCAAGAACTGTAGTCATAAAGCTTCTTTTCATCATTATTTACTAAAGTTATCATTACAGGTCAATCAGTTTTGAAATCATGTAGTGTTTTTTAAACATTTAATACCAATTATTTTAAGCTACTAATTACAAAATGCTGTCAAAATATTTCAGGACAGAGGGCCAGGGAGATAGCTCAGTAGAATAAGTGCTTGCCTGGCATGCATAGGGTCCTGAGTTCAATCCCTGGTACCTCAAAAAAAATTATATGGGCAGGTCCACATGGGCCTTCCATAGTGTGCCATGCGAGAGCAAAGTGCGCCTTGAACCATTGCCGGGCCTCTGCTTTGGGCTGAGAGCACTGAAGGGGGCGAGACAGTGTGCACAGCAGGGGCTGTAGCCCCAGCCCTCCCCACTGGCTCCAGGTGGCTTTGGCTACACTGCGCCTTCAGGGCCCACTAGGATTGCACAGTGACAGCCTGTTTCAAAAAAGGGGGTGGGGCGTAGAAGCCGGAAGTGCTGGTGCACACCTATAACCCCAGCCCCACGGAGGCTGAGGCAGTGCATCCTGCAGTGGTGATCCGACAGCAGAAGTTGTACCGGAGGAAAGATGGGGTGTTTCTGTATTTTGAAGACAATGCAGGGGTCATAGTGAACAACAAAGGCGAAATGAAGGGTTCTGCCATCACAGGGCCAGTGACAAAGGAATGTGCAGACCTGTGGCTGAGGATTGCATCTAAGCCCGATCTCCTTGGTCTAAGACTTAGAATTTACATTTGTTTCTTAACCTATTGATTATACAGATGGGATTATTTTAAGTTTGGGGAGCACTTACAGATGCAATTTTGGGGGTAGTTCTTACCGTAATTGCGGGTCCAGCAAAAGCAAGGCTGAGCAGCATGAGGAATGGGATTGCCTCCTGGGTGGGCTCAATGTACGGCATGCTAAGGCTCCGGTCATAGCAGCTAAATCCGGAGTGTACCGGTTTGAAGACATCAGTGAGTTCAAGGAAATAGAGGCTAACCACTGAAGATGCCAATATAGGTAGCTGAGAATGAAAGATATGGCATATCAATTTACTCTCATAAATAGGACATACATTGCATCAGTACATCTTGAAGTAGGAAAGAAGTGGATTTCTCCCCTTGTCGGTGACTCTTCTCTGGTCCAGAGTTAAAGCCATATAGAAGTCTGATGGTTTGTGCTTTCAGAATGCAAACATCTACCCTGGTTACCAGCCTGCTGTGAGCCGGTGGCATAACACACCTTTCACTGGTGCTTCCCTTCCTTTCTCTGTCTCCCACCCCACCTATCCATTTTCCCCAGTGTCCCAAATATGCCAGTTCACAGCACTCATCATTTTACCATTTTTATGGTTTCCTTCTATTTAATTAAAATCTAGATGTTATACCAGAGAATGGAAATTTCTACATGATTTGACTCTTGCTTGAGTTTCTTACTCTTCTTTTGATACAACTTCCCAACTCCTCAACTCCTGCTCACTACCAACTGATCTTCTGTCGTGTCATATGAGAGTCTGAGTCACTTCTGCCAAGGTCCTCTGCACATGGCATTCTTTCTTCCTCTCAGGTTCTTTCTCTGGCTCTTTATACAATTTGTTTCTTTTCATCATTTAATGATGTTGTCCTTCACATCTACCTAAGACACTTTGCATGCATCCTTGATCTTATCATTTTGTTTGATTTTCTTCATGAAACTTCTCATGAATTGAAATAAGCTTGCCAATTTAATATTTCACTTGGCTTTCATCTTCCCTAATCATTCATTAAAATAAAATCTACATGAAGAAAAAGATCTGCCAGTAATATTTCTTGCTGAATCTAAAGTGCATAGAATTGTGGCTAGCAAAAAATAGGTATGCATTATAACACTTAATAATTTAATGAAAGAAGAAGTTGCTGTAATGATTAATTAAATAGATGTACAAAACTTAGTTTACAGCTATACTAGAGTTACCAGATTAAGCAAATAAAAATAAATACAAGTCACCCAGTGAAATAAAGATTCCAGACAGCAACAAATAATGTTTAGGGTAAGTGTATCTCAAGAAATATTTGGGAAATATTTATGGTAATGGTTACTGAATGTTTATCCAAGATTCTAATTTCACTGGCCATATATTTGTATGGTCATCTAAATTTGATACAGTGAACTTCATAGACTTGTGTAGCTGTATGTATGGAGCACTATGTGGCTGCTATCTATAACATAGGGGATATGACAGACTTGGTTGTCAAAGAGTACAGCTTAGCGAGAGACCTGCTGTCAGCTAAAGGGAAAACACTGTGAATCTTTTGCATAATGTCAGGTCTCTCAGAACCTAAAAGCACAGACTCATATAGCACTGAAAGAATGCTGAGATTCCATCTCACTCCAGAAATAACGGCTGTCATCAAAAAAATCAACCGATAACAAATGCTGGAGGGGCCATGGGGAAAGGAAACCCTTTTCTGCTGTTGGATGGAATGCAGAATGGTGCAACCACTGTGGAAATCAAATGGGGATTCTTCAAAAAAAAATTAGGAAGGGAGGTCCCATTTGACCCAGCTATTCCCCTTCTTGGTATCTTCCCAGAATTAAAAAATCATACTACAGCGATATATGCGCACCCATGTTTATAGCAGTACAGTTTATATTAGCTACATCTTGAAAACAACCCAAATACCAATCAACTGAAAGATGGATAAAAAAAGATGTGTTTTTTGTACATTTGAGTACTACTTAGCCTTAAAGAAGGATAAATTTGAGACAGTTATATCGAAATGGGTGCACCATGAGACTATATTGTTAAGTGAAATAAATCAGACCCATGAGTAAACATCACATTGTCCCTGTGGTGTAAGTGTAAATACGACTAAAGTGTGTAAAAGGGATTGTGAAGTTCAAAAGAAATGGGAACTAGGAAGGGGAAAGAGGGAATTTCTGAAAGAAAGGAGGAGGAAAAATAAGATAAAAGATAAAGAGAATGAAAACAGAACCTTTCTAAATAAGGAGGGGAGAGCTGGCCAGATAGCTCAGCAGATTAAAGTGCTTGCTTAGGCAGAGTGCAGTGGCCTGGGGTCTATTCCTGACTTGTGGCACCAGTCCTGCCCATGGGGTGCACTAAGTTGTGATTGAGACTGGGAGCGGTGGTGCGCGCTTGCAATCCCAGCACTTGAGAGGCTGAAAACGGGAGGGTCAGTGTCCAATCTATGTAGTGAGACCCTGTAGGCCCTGTAGACCCCATACTAAATACATTTTTTTTAAAAAATTAAATAAGGAGGGGAAAAGGGGTTAAACATAGAGGAGGAGATTAGAGGAAAAAAAAGAATCAAGATATATCATGTACAGGTACATGCTCCTTTTGATGAATATGATCAATATGTACATCTAAATTATATTAATAAACAAGGTAAAAAACAAATGAAAGCTTTATTTAAAGCTTTATTTGTGGAAGATACAATATTTATTTAATGAAACAGGATAGATTTTTTGATAAAGACATTATTGGCCACCTATTATTTCTAGTTGTTTGATTAAAAAAATTAATTAATAAGACCGCATTACATAGTCTATCCTGGGATTTTATTTATTTATTTATTTGTACCAGTGATCAAACTCAGGACCTTGCACTTGCTAGGAAAACACTTATTCCATCTAACTATCTCTCCAGCCCAAAGTCTGAAGAGATCTTTTTTAAACGAGTTGATAATTTGCTTTATTGGAAAAATTAGTAATGTATGATTAATCTGGCATTATTGCTCAGCTTTTCAGATGTTTTCTAGAGAACAAAAAATATATCAAATCCTTTACATTTTCCCCATGCATGATTCTTTCTTTCTTCTTTCTTTCTTTCTTTCTTTCTTTCTTTCTTTCTTTCTTTCTTTCTTTCTTTCTTTCTTTTCTTTCTTTTGAAGGAACCAGGGACTGAACTCAGACCCTCGTGCTTGCTAGGGAAGTGCTTATTCCCCTGAGCCACCTCCCTGGCCCCTGCATGATTCTTTGATCATGAAAAATGTCTGATTAGTTCTCCTCTCTTCTTTTCTATAATGCCAGAATAGTAGCTTTCAATCTTGATATATTTCATGGTGCTTGTACATGATTGAAATTTCCACTTAAACCCACATTATTTTAGCAAATGCATCAATTAATACTTACTATCAGAAAATATTGTTCAAACCTTTTAGTTGATTTGATTCATTAATTTTAACTCACTTATTTTAACATTTTCTAGTGGGATAGAAGTTAGGTGCTATAATTAACTTCATTTTGTTAGTGATAAGCAGTCACCAATAGTAAATGACAGCCGTGGATTTTAAAGCCTTGAATTTTAGTTTCAAAGTCTAATGTCCTAACCACTGTGAATGACAGTTATAGATAATAACTAAATAGCATCAATTACTAGGGAGAGTGTTAAGTCAAACCTTTATTTAAAATTTTCTATTTGTAAATTCTTAAAAACATGTATCACATAGGATACAGAGACATTATCTTAAATATATGGTTTCTAGAAATACAGAAGAGTTTCTTTTATTAATTTGAGTGCTAAATATTTCACTTGCAAGCCACATTAAATAACTCATTATCTTTCCTGTTTCCTGGATGCCTTCTAAGGTTTTGTACACATATTTTGTAAGTGGGGTCTCTAACCTGAGACCTTCAAGGTCCATACAAATGACAACCAATCAACTCACTTTTAAAAGTTCATGTCCCTTAAAGGTGAATACGTTCTCTTCTGCAGAAAGATGAACAAAATTTTCTCAACATTAGAAATATGAAAATAAATTAAATCTTCCTTAGTAAAGGCCATTAGATCTTATGGGTGACTGCTTCATAATCTATTCAAGTGTACTAAGGGAGATAGCCCAAGGATGAAAGGGCTGCTGGGTGCGCATGTGGGTGAGTGGGAGGGTGCAGAGGAATGGCTCATGTACCTATTCTCTCAGCAGTACCTATTGAGAACCTACAAATACTAGGCCTTGTTAAATATCCTGGAAGCATGATTGTGTGAAAAAACAAAGTCCTTATTTTATAGATTCCATTGTAGTTGAGGAAGGCAGATAACAATAACTTAAAAAATAATACCACAAAAACACATTTTCTAAAGAACATGGCTGTATTAATGCTGTGGTAGATTCTTATTTCTGATCAAAGAAGACCTCTCTTACTCGGGGTCACTGAAACAGAGACTTGAATTGCCAAGAAAAAGGTACTGTGCAGAAATCAGACAAAAAGCATAACCAAATGAAAGAAGTGACATAAGATAGAGTCAGATAAATGGATTTAGGATTAGGCTTTTCACAGAAGATGAGAAACACTTTGGAGGTTAAAAAAGAGATGTTACATTAATTAAAATATTTTCACAGAGATCATTCCAGCTGTTAAATTGAGGATGACCTGTAGTGGGTCTAAAGCAAAGCAGGGTGAAAACTTAGAAGGCTCTTCAAAACTCAAGAAATGTTTATTGATTGCCTCGTGATAGGCACTTCTGTAAATGTAAAGCATAGAACAACAAACCAAATAGAAATTTTTTTTACTCATGGGTATTACAGTATGGTGTCTATTTGGCAGATCCAGAATTCCAGCAAAGAGTGGTGATAAATTTTTGTAGGCCATAGGGCTAGAGCTGTAGGGAAATCTGCATACTCTCAGTATAGATTTAGACATAGAAATGACAGGATTTCACCTGTTGATCATTAGGAAGAGAAAACAACAAAGGTTTAAGGGTTTGGAATTTGAGCAATTTTGTCAGCAGTGTCATTTTCTGCAATGGGGAAGACTGAGAAATCTTTGGGCAAGAGAAATCTAAAGCTCTGCTTTGGAAATATTGAAGCTGAGATGCCTTTAGTTATTTAAACACAACTTTCCAAAAGAAAGCAAAATACCATTGTTGAAACAAGGGGGAGCTTTATGGTTGGTGGTACAAAGCTCATGTCATTGGTGCCAGATGATGTAATTAGCAGTATTCTTTCTTTAGAAAAACAACACATGTGCAAGAAATTTCAAAGTTAATGTGATATTTTGATATAAGTAATATCACAGAAGTCA